GGGGGCAGCCCAACCTCCATGAGCGGCAGGGGGGGGGTTCAACTTACCTTTGGGCTCAACAAAATCTGATCCGGGATCCCCTCCGAGCAGCTCTTCGTAACCCTTCAGTTTCTCCGGCACGTTGAGGGTCACTTTCCCCAAGCTCACATGGGATCTCCCGGAATCGAGAGATTCCTTGACCTTTGCCCCCAGAGGCAGGAAAGCGGAGGGGGGAGGGGGGGAAGAGAAAAAAAACCTCAGGTTATTTTTCAAACGGTACTTTTGAGGAAGGCGCCGAGAGCCTCCGTCCGACTTTCAAGGTCAGAATAGGAGAATATCAACGAATCGGAAGGGACCTCGGAGGTCATCTAGTCCAACGCCCTGCTCAAGCAGGAAGACCCTCTACCATTCCAGACCAATGGCTGTCCAGGCTCTTCTGGAAAGTCTCCAGGGATGAAGCCCCCACAACCTCTGGAGGAAAGCTGTCAGTCATCTTAGTGATCATATCTTGCCATCTGAACTCTTTTCTTGGATAATTTTAATGCATTTATTGTCTTTCGGTTTCATTCTTTTATTATGATATGGTTTTTATTGGACTGCAAGGCATCCCAGAGCCATGCAATTCAGAGAGTGGGGTTGTGTGTAGGCAAGGGTCTTCAAACTCGACAGCTTTAAGACCGGTGGACTTCCAACTCCCAGAATTCCTGAGCTAACATGGCTGGAGGAGGGATTCTGGGAGTTGAAGTCCACAAGTCTTTAAAGCTGTCGAGTTTGAAGAGCCCTGGTGTAGGGGTTAAAGTGCTGGCTTAGAAACCAGGAGACGGTGAGTTCTAGTCCCCCCTTAGGCATAAAAGCTAGTTGGGTGACTTTGGGCCAATCACCAGGAGACAGTTCTAGTCCCGCCTTAGGCATGAAAGCCAGCTGGGTGGGCCAATCACCAGGAGACGGTGAGTTCTAGTCCCGCCTTAGGCATGACAGCCAGTTGAGGGACTTTGGGCCAATCACCAGGAGACGGGGAGTTCTAGTCCCGCCTTAAGGCATCAAAGGCAGCTGGGTGACTTTGGGCCAATCACCAGGAGACAGTGAGTTTTAGTCCCGCCTTAGACATGAAAGCCAACTGGGTGACTTTGGGCCAATCACCAGGAGACTGGGAGTTCTAGTCCCGCCTTAGGCATGAAAGCCAGCTGGGTGGGCCAATCACCAGGAGACAGTGAGTTCTAGTTTTGCCTTAGGCATGAAAGCCAGCTGGGTGGGCCAATCACCAGGAGACGGGGAGTTCTAGTCCCGCCTTAGGCATGAAAGCTAACTGGGTGACTTTGGGCCAATCACCAGGAGACGGGGAGTTCTAGTCCCGCCTTGGGCATGAAAGCCAACTGGGGGACTTTGGCCCAATCACCAGGAGACGGGGAGTTCTAGTCCCACCTTAGGCATGAAAGCCAGCTGGGTGGGCCAATCACCAGGAGACAGTGAGTTCTAGTTTCGCCTTAGGCATGAAAGGCAGCTGGGGGACTTTGGACCAATCACCAGGAGACGAGGAGTTCCAGGTCCCGCCTTAGGCATAAAAGCCACCTGGGTGGGCCAATCACCAGTAGACAGGGAGTTCTAGTCCTGCTTTAGGCATGAAAGCCAACTGGGTGACTTTGGGCCAATCACCAGGAGACGGTGAGTTCTAGTTCCACTTGAGGCATGATTCTCTTAACAACTGTGGCAGGGAAGGTGATAAAATGGGGCAAAACTCAACTGTCTCGCTTAGCAACAGAGAGATTTTGGCCTCAATTGCGGTCCTCAATGGAAGACCACCTGTCATCTGGCATCGCGCCGGCTCACCCACCTGAGTTATGAAGATGGGTTCCGTGGTTCCTTCTCCGCTCCTCGTCAGCACCTCCTCCTCCTCCTCCTCTTCCTCCTCCTCCTCTTCCATGGAAGCATCCTCCTCGGTTTCCGGAGGCAAGGCGTAGGATTGGATCTGGGCAAAGAGTTTGTATAGCTCTCCGGAAACGGATCGGGAGGGCGGAGCCAACGTTGACCTTCGTGGCGAGCATAAATCCGCCAACGTCGGCCTCTCCTCCTGGCCGTATTCCACAAGAGGGAAGCTAGCCAAGCCAGGATGTTCCTCTTCTTCTGAAGGCTCCAAGAGATTCACGTCCTCTTGATCTCCCTGTTCCACCTCTGAAGAAACGGTCGTCAAGACCACCACGGGGATCCTCCGCCGATCCAACTGGCCTTCGGCGAAATCCTCCCCGCTGGGATAAGAGGTGGGCACGGACTCCTGCCGATCCTGATCTTCTGCAGAGGATCCCCTGGACGGGAGATCCTTGTCCACAGAAAGCGATTGGGCAGGTGAAGGAGGTTCACCCAGGTTGTCTTCTTCTTCTTCGAAAGAAGACGATACCTGCGGTTCGGATCCTTTCTGATCCGGCAAAGACGTAGTCGTAACGGGTGCCGATTGAGTCGCCTCTCCACCAGGAGCGGTGGAGGAAAGAGTCTTGGTTCCATCTTCTTCTTTTTCTTCTTCTTCTCC